AAGACTTGTGGACTTCAACTCCCAGAATTCCCCAGCCAGCACAGCTGGCTGGGGAATTCTGGGAGTTGAAGTCCACAAGTCTTCCAAGCGGCCAAGCTTGGATATTCCTGGTCTAGTCATCCACATCGTCGTCTCCGTTCCTGCTGAGATTCTCAGAGCACCCCAAAACCTCCAGCAAACTTCTTCTCGGCACAGAAAGAGAGGGGTAGTGACCCACTTCAGCCGGCTTCCCCAAGTCTTTAGCGTCCCCCACTTTTTTTGGGGGGGGGTGGAGGGGGGGCAAACCCGAAGAAAAAAATCTGGCTCAGCCGAGAGGGACTCCCCCCGTCGCTGTTGGGACAGAAGGAACAGGAGCCATCCTGGAAGGGCCAAGCGAGGTGGAGCTAGCTTTTCAACCCCACCGTTCCTCCAGCTGTTTAAGAAGAACGTGGGAATGAAGAGAGATGGGAAGGGGGTGGTGGTGAGTATTTTCAGGGGAGGGGGAAAAGAAAAAAAGAAATGGGGAGGGGTGTGTGAAACTACCCTGAACCCAGCAGCGTCCATAAAACGGCTCTCACATCAGTTTTGTCGGGGGGGGGGGGGGGGGGGGGGGGGGAATGAGCCCCCTCTTCCGCAACACACATGTCTTCCAACTCTTTTTACAGTCCATTGAAGAGTTTTCTAAGCTGCTCTTCCCAACTTCGATGGGAAAGAAACACCCTTTTCGCGATAAATCGAAGAAGTCGGCCTGGGGGTGGCAGAGACAGCGTTCACATTTGCGGGGTAGTGGTGGAGCAATGGCTCCCCTCCAAATGTACCACGTGTCCTTGGGTTGGTGGGCAAACCACGTGGAACATCCTCCCCCCCCCCCCCCTCAAAAAGGGGGAAGCTTTTTCCTCCTCCTTTTCACAAACAGAAAGAGCCAGGGAGCCGCTGGGTCTCGGCGTCAGGGATGCCACTGCGAGACGAAGAGTCTCCCGATGATAAATAGACACGGAACCCGGGGGAAAAATAAAGAACGAACGTGGCGACACGACGAAGGAAGGAAAGGAGATATGAATGCACACGTGTGTAAAAGTGATAAAGAGAGGAATAAAAAATAAATAGTTGCCTGGGCTGAGAAATTACAGCCCGAATCGTCTTGCTTAGGTGAGGAAAAAAATTGTGTGTGTGTGTGTGTGTGTGTGTTTGTTTGTTTTCCAGCATGGGGGGCATGACAACACAACATATCTGCCACCTTGACTCAGCACGGTCACTGCTCTTGCCTTGTCCATCTGCAACGGGCTGAGCCTGGTCACATCGGAAGCCAAAAATATGCAGGACTTGGTTGAACCTTTTTCTTTTTTTCCTTTTCCTCTTTTTCTTTCTTTCTTTCTTTCTTTCTTTCTTTCTTTCTTTCTTTCTTTCTTTCTTTCTTTCTTTCTTTCTTTCTTTCTTTCTTTCTTTCTTTTCTTTCTTTCTTTTTCCTTGGTTTGTTTTTAAAAGTTTTAAAAGAGACGGCAGCGGCCCGAGAGGTCCAGAGCCGACCAAATTCAATCTGGCTTGTGGGAGAGGCGGAACCCTTCAAGGAAGGGAAGGAAGGAAGGAAGGAAGGCGGGGGGAGAAAAACATTGCAAGTGCCCTTGGCTAGTGTTCCAGAAAGGAGAGAAAAACCGAGGCCATCCGTATCGAGAGTTCGTCCTTTGGGGGGGGGGACGCGGGGGGGGGGATCTTTTCTCCGGATCGAGGTTTCCCCTTTGCCGGTTTTCCTGGATCGGTCCTGCGAGACGGCGGGTCTCTTCGCAGAGGAAGACGTCGAAAATGCCAAAAAAAAGGCAGGTGGGAGGGAGGGAGAGGGGGAGAGAGGGAGAGGGGAGGGGGAAGGGAGGGAGAGGGGGGGGTGCATCTGGAAACAAAGCTCTTTGGGAAGGGACAAGGCATTTGGTTGCCCCAGTAGTACTTCAGTGTCCACTTTGGGATCGCTCGGTGGAGGCCGGGGGTCAAGCTAGTGTTTTCCCCAAAAGCAACCAGCTGCTCAGCAACTGCTCAGAACTGAAAGAGAAGAAGAGGAGGAGGAGGAAGAGGAAACTTTAGAACATGAGTATTGTAAGGACTTTGGTGCTGCTGGAGCTGGATGGTTTTCTCACAGACCTTTCACTACCA